AACTTCTAGCATCCAGAACTGTAAGATAATGATTTCCGTTGTTTAAGCCACTCAGTTTCCGGAAGCCCTAGAGAACTAATACAGGTGGCAAAAGGGAGTGGGCTGCTTCAGCAAGAAATACCTAAAAAAGTATAAATTGTTTTGAACTTAAGAAATGCACAAAGACTGAGTTTTGAGGTAAATGGCAGAAAAAAACTCGATTGCCTTGAAGGGATTGTTGGTAAAAACTACGGATGTTAAAGGAGAGTCTGTGGAGAGTTCATAAAGAGGAAAGCTGGAGAGAAAGCTTCTATCATCTTAGATCATACATCACCACAAACAATGTCGCTAGAAATATGAATGTTAAAGATGGTGGGGTATCAGACAAAAATGAGGATCATTTTATTGGAAACTGGAGAATAGGTGATCCATGTTAATGGAAACTGAAGAAAAGCCGACAGAGAATTTGGTTGAATTGTGTTCTGTAGAGTGGAAAGAACTTATCCATGATGAACTTTTTATATTTAGCTGAGGAGAATTTTAAACAAAGTATTGAAGGTGCAGCCTGGTTTCTCCTTGTTGTTTACAGTGAAATACGAGAGGTAAAAGATAAACTGAAGAAGGAATCCTGCCTGAGTTTTCCTGCAGATTTTGAATTTCCCGCAGATTTTGGACTCAAGAGAGCAATATCAACTCTTATCTGAATTTCTAGGCTGCCATCCTGGTCTACAAATTTCTTACTTGCTAGCTTCCACAATCGTGTGAGTCAACTATTTAAAATTTTAAATATGATCTCTTTCTCTGTCTCCATATGCAAGTGCATGCCATGCATGGATATAAATATATATATATACACATTTTATATGTGTGTGTGTGTGTATAGCCAGTATATATACCTAGCATGTCAGACAGTGTGTGAAGCACCTTGAAAAATAATGTGAGAAGCCATTGTATCCAATATTTCTAGCTCAGATAGATTGGAGAATAACATTGCTGTTAGAAGGTTTTTAATATTCAATATCTCATAGGTAGTTATAAGTGGAGTTTAGGGAAAATGATTCAGGTCTAGAGTTCTGAAAACCATCTGTAAACAATTTTTTTTTTATTTTTTATTTATTTATTTATTTATTTATTTTATTTTTTTTTTTTTTGAGACGGAGTCTGGCTCTGTCGCCCAGGCTGGAGTGCAGTGGCTGGATCTCAGCTCACTGCAAGCTCCGCCTCCCAGGTTCACGCCATTCTCCTGCCTCAGCCTCCCGAGTAGCTGGGACTACAGGCGCCCGCCACCGTGCCCGGCTAGTTTTTTTTTTGTATTTTTTAGTAGAGACGGGGTTTCACCGTGTTAGCCAGGATGGTCTCGATCTCCTGACCTCGTGATCCGCCCGTCTCGGCCACCCAAAGTGCTGGGATTACAGGCTTGAGCCACCACGCCCGGCCTAACAATTTTTTTTTTAAAACTGTGGTACTAGATAACTTTTTGAAGTCAGAGGGTAGGAAATAAAGTTGTTGAGAAAAGAAGGGAGAATAACTCAATACACTTGAGGGTACCCTTTTGTGAAACATGCCTTGAGGAAACAGAATAGCCTATATCCATTTGTTCTTACATTTTTCAAAAATTACCTCTAAGCATCTGTATTAGTCAATGTTCTCCAGAAAAACAGATGAAGACCCCAGTCTCTTTAAGTTTCAGTCTGGGAAAGCTCAAAGATGCCAAAAGCATCTGTTTGTTCCAGCCAACACCTTATTTTGGTGCTAATTTTTAAAATTCTTCCCTACTGCTGACTAATCTCCCTTTTAAATCAAAAGAAATCAAAGTCTAAATGAATCACATTTTTTATTCATTATGTTGATACTGTTAGTTTTTAACGGGTCATTATGCTGTTTCGATTTATATTAATCATATACAGTTTTCTATTTTAAAATTCATTTACATATAAAAGGTAGGTTAATTTAAAAAAAAATTAAGTATATAAGAGAAACAGGAAGACTGATAAAATACTCTTCCTGACTAAACTATAGCCAGGTTCCTTGATCCCTTTTACTGGCAAAGCCTCCACTTTGGCCTATAAAAACTACAGACTCTCAGCACAACTGATTTCATCCACATCCTCCCCTCTCCTACCCCTACACACATATCAAAAGACTTGAACAAACACTAATATAGTTTCTAACAGCTCAAGGTTGCATTCTTAAGATGAAATTTGGAGTTATCCTGGACTTACCCCTCTCTCTACATCAAATTAATCTTGTTAATTTTGTCTCCAAAATGCCTACTAATCATCTCTTCATTTTCTGCCACTGATTCACCCAGGACTGTACTGTACCTTACCTAGATTATTAAAATAAAATACTCTCTTTTCCTTTTGACTCTCATGACCTTACTTGACTTCTTTTCACTCCATTTTATACACCTTTGTTAGAGAAAGCCCCCTAGAGCAAAAAACTGTTATTTCCTTCCTTACAATGGTTTCTGCATAGATTAATGGTGAAATACTAACTAGTAAGTCTCCATTCAAAGCCCTTCACAAAGTGATACAAACTCTTCTTTCTGTGATTCCTCCTCTACCCCATACACTTTCTATTGTGTGATATGAAAATACTGGTAAAGATCCAATTTTTATGTTCAAAATTTGAAAAAATATAAAAGTCTAAAAAACTCAGAATAATTTAAAAATGGGCCTCAAAAATGAACTGAAAGATGTATTTTATACTGCAGACACACGGTGGCACCATTTTAGCAGCCTAACAGCAATACTAGAGAACCTTTGTTAATATTGTGTGATTATGTGCTAAAATTGTGCAAGTGCTTTAAATGGCTAATGTGATACTACTTTAATCATTTATTAATGGTATTGTTAGTGCTAAAAATGCTCCACAATATCACTAACTTTGAAAAAGAATTTAGAGGTGATAGTTATTTATAGATTGTTTTTATTACTCCTTTGTTTTAGGCTGAATTGTGTCAACACTTCCATGTTCATATGTTGATGTTCAAATCCCCAGTATCTCAGAATGTGACTGTATTTAAAGATAGGGTCTTTAATGAGAAAATTAATTTAAAATTATTAGGATCGGCCCAAATCAAAGATGACTCAAAAATGAACTGAAAGATGTATTTTATACTGCAGACACACGGTGGCACTATTTTAGCAGCCTAACAGCAATACTACAGAACCTTTTTAAATATTGTGTGATTATGCTCTAAAGAAAGCATATAATTTTCTGACAAGAAAAATATCAGAAATGTCAGCCTTATAAGATACTGCAGTTTTCTAAAGTGTGGGACAAATACCTGTGGAGGCACCAAGATAGATTTAAGTGAGACATAGACATGGTATCAAGGACACTGTGTCATTCAGATAAAGTTTTTCTTTCACTTATTTCTGGTAAGAAAATTAGGAAACAGACATGTATAGAGGGAAGACCCTGTAAGAAAACAGAAGGTACTGATCTACAAGCCAAACAGAGAGGTCTCAGAAGAAACCAGCTGTGCTGATATATTGATCTCAAACTCTTAAGCCTCCAGAATTGTGAGAAAATAAATGTCTATTGTTTAAACCACCAAGTCAATCTGTGGTATTTTGTCATGGAAGCCCTAGGAAGCCCTAGCAAACTCATATTCCCTTCAGTATATTTACAAATATAGAAACCATACAATAGTTGTGGATTAATGTACTATATAGGAGTGCAATCTCCATATTATATATTTATTCTTACAGAGAAACTGAGTCTTGATTTATGAGTTTGTAAATTATTTGAACTCTTCAGAAATCCTTGCCTCAAATAAAATGCCACTGTCCTGAATGTTGGCCGTGTTCTCTACTGACTATTAACCCAATATATTGTGTGTTTTTCCTCATTTGTATCCTTGCTCAGCTGAGCCGAGTTTAATGGAGTGGTTAAAGGTGCAGGCTCTAGAGACAGGCTGTGTGGACTCACAGTCCCGGTTCATCACTAACTGTGACTCTAGGCAGTTATTTAAAAAGCGTGGGCCACATTTTTCTTGGAAATCTTATAAACAGATATTAAAAGGGCCAGCAATAGAGGGCTCTGTGAAGATCAAAAGAATTGATACAAAGTATGTAGAATAGTACTGGGAACTGAGAAAAATGTGTTATGCTGTTGATTATTCCTCTGCTTAAGTTCCATTTATCTCCTTGGGTAAAAACAAAAAACTGCCTATCCTTCAAAGCCCAGAAAAGATACCTCCTGTTTCTTCTCAAGTTGAATAATAAACTTACGCTGTCAAAGATATTGCAAGACATGAGCTTTAGTTTCCAAAAAATTGGATTCAAATAATTTTTGCATTGATCTATGATGTAATTTTAGACATTTTGCTTAATTTGTTTGAGTTTCCAGAGCTGGTATATAACCTGACACAGTGGAGCTCAGCATTTTTCTAATAAATATGTTTTTCCGTTTGTAGGTTGGGAAATATTGTAATATCAGCCTTATAAGATACTGCGGTTTTCTAAAGTGTGGGACAAATACCTGTGGAGGCACCAAGATAGATTTAGGTGAGATATAGACATGGTATCAAGGACACTGTGTCATTTAGATAAAGTTTTTCTTTCACTATTACAATCAGTGTTATGGCCCGTTTCCTTTCAGATGCACTTCAAAATTAGCTCAGTCACTGACAACATGGGGAATATATTTCGACCTCAGATTTTAAAAGTGCCATTATTATTTAGACACTAGGTAGAAGGCTAAGTCTCAACGTTGTGCTAATAATAGCATCGTTTATCCCTGGACTAAGACCTCCGCTCCTGGTTGGGAAATCAGACTGCCTGGGCGGCACTCCAGGCTGACAGCTCCCCAACTGCGACCTCCTGGGCAAGTCACTCGGTCCGGATTTCCTGACGTAGTATGGGGGAACTGACAGTACAACACACAACACAGGGCAGTAGTGAGAAACAGACAATGCAAAGGAATTGGCACAGCACTCAACAGACAATATAAGCTAATATATACTCTGCCTGCACACTGCGTTTTACGGTTAATTGAAAGCCCCCACTCACGTGACCACTCCACTGCCAGGCGCCAAGACGCGCTGATGTCACGACGTCGTGCGCCGTGCAGGCGTCAGCAAGCTGCGCCGCGCTGCGGCGCGCCTTCGGGGTGCTTCCGGAGCTGGTACTTGGGCAGAGCTACCTGGGGTTTATTGTCTTTGCTTCACAGGGTCTGTTTGAGTCCTGTCCACTGGACCCTACCCGGGGTACCTTTGAAAACAAACGGGCTATGTTGCTGTTGCTTGTCGGTACCCTCTCCTGACGCCTCCGTCGCCCGGGTCATGTGGACCCTCGTGGGTCGGGGCTGGGGGTGCGCACGCACTCTCGCGCGGTGGGCCACTGGGGCCGCGCTTGGGCCCGCGCCGACCTTTGGGGCTGCTCCAGAGTCCTGGCCTACCTGCAGGGTCTACAGCTCCGCAGAATTCAAGGTGACTGCCCCCTGGAATCTGATATAGCCATGTTTTAAAACATTGGAGTACCCCGTGCGATCTTGGAAATGTGTAGGACTTTCTGGGACTAGCTCTGAATCCTGCTTACAGGGAGGCAGAGCAGAGTGTGAGCACGGCTCAGGTTCCCGACCCTCCACCGTTCACTAATGTGACCTTGGGCAAGTCACTAACTTCGTAGGATTTCTCATTTGCAGTGTCAAATGTTGATTTGTTTACGCGAGCCACTGGTCGAAGTGCTTTGCGGGTATTCATCTATTTAATGCTCCTAAGAAGTCTGCTGAGAAAGTTGCTAGTAAATGTTAATATAACGTCCATTTTCCTGTAAATTAACTAGCTATGTGGCCTGGGCAAGTTACTACTTTGTCACTCTCCTGCTTCATTTGTTGAATGCAGAACAAATCAAACATCCAGTGGCTAATTGGTGAGATTTGTGTGATTTGAGGAGTGGACTTTTTTAGACTAATACCTAGAATGCAGAAAGTGCTCTGTCTGTCTTTGTACTTTTATTATTTCCTTCTACCTCAGCCAGAGCAAACCTGTGTACTTTTGACTCTGGTGGGAGAGGGTGGGAGGTTCAACAACTCTGATAATTGTGAATGGATACAGTTTAGGCAGAAAAGTGAGGTGACTGAAGGCAAGCTGTAAGTAGGCAGAAAGACAAAACCTTATAATTAATCAACTTTGGCCCTAATATGCCTGTGGTTTCAAAAATGGATTTATATTGCAATTCACGGTTTTAAAGATGGTGCAATTCTCTACCTTTTGAACTAAAGGGAAAGAAAATCTACAGGGCAAACATCAGAATTGGTCTTTTTTTGGTGGGGGGGGCAGACTTTCAGCTATAATTGTGCTTTTATTATCTGTCTTATATGAGGCTGTTATAAAAAAAACTTAAAGCTCTTGTGAATTTTATATTTCATTTTAATTTTATGGTTTTGATTGTGAAATATAGAGTTGATTGGAAAGAAATGTTTAGAGTACAAAAAACTGGTATATTTTGCTTGATAACAATTTCTAGCAGTTTGTGATGTGTTTTAGTAAAAACGTTAAAGATGTGTACACTTAAAACCAGGAGTTCCATTTAAAAATATTTTTAAGTTTTAAGTGAAAGTCTTTTGTTGGATGTCATCTGTTTTTCTTTCTCACCAGAGAAGCTGTAAAGTAGCAAAATTGTATCTAAAATAAAATTTTGAGGCTCAGTTAGAAACACAGATTTTTAAATAAATCTGATTCCTGGTTAAATGTGTGATAGGAGCAGAAGATTTCTTTCAGCTTTTCTGTAGCTCCGTTGCCTCAAAAGTTACTGGACAAGGTATTCTCAGGTCTTTAGAAGTTCTAGGTATCTTAAGTTCATTCACGATAATAAATTCAGTTCCTGGTTGGCCCTAAAAATGGTGTAGAAATGTTAAGGGATTATTATTTAGCTGTCTAGTTACTTTTGACTATTAAACTGATGTTCCTTGTAATATGAACTTAACCATATATGTCTTTATTCTTAGAAGAATAATATAAACAATATAAATGCTAGAAATGATATTGTTCAACGATTAAAAGAATATTCTTTGAATTGTTATACTTGTTTGATAGTATGCAAAATTTATACTCTTAAATGTGGTATTTCCCCTTTCTAGGAAAAACTTGACATGTCTAGGTTTCCTGTTGAAAATATTAGAAATTTCAGTATTGTTGCACATGTGGATCATGGCAAAAGTACTTTAGCTGACAGGCTCCTAGAACTTACAGGTATTTCATTTATATTACATACTTAACTGATGGCTGCGAGTTATTGAGAATTACTTTTACTCTTAAATTTTAATTTTATACGTAATATTCTCTTTTTTTTAAAAGCCCAGAAAAATATCAGTAAGTGTTTCTGTTTATAGGGACAATTGATAAAACAAAGAATAATAAGCAGGTTCTTGATAAATTGCAAGTGGAACGAGAAAGAGGAATCACTGTTAAAGCACAGACAGCATCTCTTTTTCACAATTGTGAAGGAAAGCAGTACCTTTTAAATCTCATTGATACACCGGTAAGTTTAATATTAATTTTGCGTGTATTATTAAAGTCAACATTGTGTCAGTAGTGCAGACAGATCCTTGTTTAATTTTTGAACTGAATATTAAACATCTGCCTTTGCTTTTTGTTTTCTCAGTGTTCTTGTGTTAGTGTCAGTTGTTTCAAAAGTGTAGGGTACAAAAAAGAAACGAGTATTTAACAACTTTTATCAAGTCAATAAATTTGACATAATGCCCTTTCCTAAAAAACTACCTCAGATTTACAGGTATCAATATTTTTGTTTCTCAGGGCCATGTTGATTTTAGTTATGAAGTATCCAGGTCACTTTCTGCTTGCCAGGGTGTTTTACTTGTGGTTGATGCAAATGAGGTAGGCATTTTTCATTTTGCATGATGTGACATGTGATATGACATGACTATTTGGTTGTTTCAAGAGTTTTTCTTTAAAATGTGTTTTGGAAATAGAATTTTTGTGTTTGAAAAATAGATTTATTACTTATTGAAAATCATATGGTTTCATCCTATTAACTTGAAATATTATTACACTAAAGCATTCTCTGGAATTGACTAGTTTTTAAATTGGAATTGTTCAAAAGATTGTTGTATTTTTTTTGAAGTGTGACATCATGTTATCAATGCATCTTACAAAAAAACCCCACCAACTTTCGCATTTCTTAATCTGAGGTTTCTATATCCATTTTTTAGCAGATCTTAAGAATAAATCATTAGTTTCAGATCATTTCAGGTGATTTTAAGGCAATAATTTGGGAAGTATTAGGTTTTAAAAAAATCAATAGCATTACTAAGCTCTTTTGTGGTGTAAACCATAAAGACATTCAGCAGATGACCATATAAGAGCTGTGAATATACTAAAGTAAGCTTTTGATACATGTTTCTCACAAACTCTTCATTCAAAACCCAACTTTTTTTAGTGGTGGTGGTGGTGGTGTGTTAAGCCTTTCCTGATCCCATCAAGGAAGGTCAATCTTGACCTTATATAGGCAGTACTGGGCTTTATAAACTGCCTTGATGACTGTGTTCTTTACTAAGCTTTGAGGTCCTTGAGAGTCCATGTTACATCTTTTGTTTCTCCAATGCCTGATGTATTTCCTGGCACAGAAAAGGCCCTCCAATAAATCTTTCTGAACTGAAAGGAATTATTACAGAGAATGATTCAGATGCATGGAAAAATAGCTATCATAGTTGATTTGCCCTGTACCTTTCCTTAAAGGCTTCTTATCTCAAACTTAGTAGACTGTTGGCTCACTCTACTTGGTGTGGTTATTGCTTTACCATCAGCGATTTTCATTTTGATCCCAAAGACAAGTTGGAGAGAAAAGTATGAAGGGTAGCTACGTGGCATTTTGTTTAATTTTATTATTAGCATGATGCAAAGTCTCTTGATGAAGATGTGTGGAATGGTCTTAAATTACAAGTTTTGTGATAGATAATAGAATGGTCATCTCAGTGTCTTGTGTCTTGATATTTTCAGGGTATTCAAGCCCAAACTGTAGCAAACTTCTTTCTTGCTTTTGAAGCACAGCTATCGGTAATTCCAGTTATAAATAAGGTAATTACAATGAGACAACAGTGTTGTTATTTCACTTTCTAAAAATACAATTAGTGTTTAAATGTCAGTTGTACTATTTATTATATGAGGGATCTCCTGCTATTTATTAAATATATTGGTGGGATTTATCTCTTTGAATTGTATGTAACAGAAGTGCAACTTAAACTCACCCTTGCACAGAGTTGAGAAGATAGTTCCCCTGAATTATCTTACAGTAACTGAGGGCCATTTCTGTAGGGAAGGAATGCAGAGCAGATGAAACATGTTTGTCCGATTAAACCATACATAGGAAAAGAAGAGAAGTTTATAATCTAGGAAGAAACAATACAGCACATGAAGCATGACAATTTAGTGCTAAACTGAGCTCTGTCTATAAACTTCCATTTCATATTTTAAAATTAATTTAGAATCTTAATTTTAAAATCTGCATTGCTTTAAATTATATTTATTGGTAATGGAGTTAAGTTTAAAAGAAGGCCATAGGTAGGACAGCTTGTTGTCAGACTTAATGTTATATTTAACTTCTAAAATCAGTTCACATGCTGCTTAATTGATAAATTACTACTGATCTCTTCTGCTGCCCTGGGTAGCTAACTGCTTAAAGTTTTTTTGCATGCTCTGCAACCTAACTTCTCTTTTTCAATCATGGTTATTAAATTGTACTGCTAATATATAGATTATTTTACTGCTTTTGAAAAAATATCATAGAGGGGTCAGTTAGGCTGAAGTGGGTAAGCTTTTAACTACCTCTGAATACTGTTAATACATAATACATCTTATCCTTAGTATACTAACACATAATGGATTTTTTTTTTAAAGATAGATCTGAAGAATGCTGATCCTGAAAGGGTTGAAAACCAAATTGAGAAAGTGTTTGATATTCCAAGTGATGAATGTATTAAGGTAAAATACTTCCCTAAAAAGATTATACTTTGAAAAAAGTCACAGGAAATTGGGCTAAGTGAAATTTCATGGTATTTGATAACCTGACATTATATG